AACCAGAGCTTTGGTGAGATGGGTAAGGAAGAAGGATGGGTAAGGATAGAAATTTTGGAAAAGGGTGGGAGGGGGGAGAGAGGTAGGATATAAAAGGTAAGTGGCCCAACCACTTTGGTGTAATTTAAAAAGTGTACGTGAAATGATAAGATATTCTTTAAGGGGTATAAGACTAACCCATCAGAGTCACATAGATATAACAGATATATAAGTACATGACTCAGTAAATAACTGTAAACTGGCTTCGTAATGGATAAGCGGAGAAAGGAACACATAATATTCCTTTGCTAGACTGGCGACAGGTCGTAAGCTTCAAATTATAAACCAGTTAGTCTAACTTCAAATGCGGGAAAGCTGATGGAATCAATAATTTAGGACGCAATTCGGAGCCACCTTGATAGACGTGATTTGATTAACGAATATTTGCATGGTTTTACAAAAGGGCGCTCACGCCGTATTGATTTATTAACTCTATTCACTAAAGTATTTGAGACGGTAGTTAATAATAATAATAATAATAATAATAATAATAATAATAATAATAATAATAATAATAATAATAATAATAATAATAATAATAATACGATATTATATATATATTGATTTCAATAAGCGTGTTGACAGTCACATGGAATAGGAGAAACTATCTCCTGGATCGAGGCATGTTTTCCAGTAGACAAAAACGTTGAATAAATGGAGAGGACTCAGAGTGGGGACCCGTTACAAGTGGTGTCCCACAGGGGTCGGTGTTGAGCCTCGCATTATTCACGATGTATATATGTTACCGGCACTGAGGAGGGAATAAATAGCGACTTCAACAAGTTTGCCGATAACACTGAAATAGGACGTAAGATAAATTTTGATTTGGAGACTAGAGAGTTACAGGATGATCTGGATAAGTTGATATTGTGGTCGCCTTGAAGTAACAGACGAAGTTTAGTGTAAATAAATATAACGTTCTGATCCTTGGAAAAAAAAGCAGTCGCTGCATCTATAAACCCAGTATTGCAAATCTCAGTCCCTATGTTTGCGAAAAAGACTTGGGAATGCTGGTTTCAATAAATCTAAAGCCATGACAACAATCCCTAAGAGTTCGAAATAAAGCTAATAGAATACTGGGGTTCATATCAAGAAAAATATAAAATAGAATTCCTCAGGTTACATTTTATATATCCTTCGTTAAGCAGCATTTAGATTATGCTGCTCAGTTCTGATCTCCTTATTACAGAATGGACATAAATGCGCCTGGAAAATATACAGAGAAAGATGGTGAAATTAATTCCGTGTACTAGAATTTGAGTTCTCTGGAAAGGCAGGACTCGCAGCAATGGGCTTAGGTTGGTTAACCATAGATTTAGATAGGGCTGGCTTGGCAATTGAGTTGTGGACGAGAGAATTGAGCTTCCAGGTAGCATCACTGCAGCGAGAATCCTGGGTAGCTTTAAAAATAGGTTGGACAGTATAATGCATTTCTTTACTGATAACGTTAATTCCTTGACAATGTCTACTGTGTCGGCGAGAAGTTGGCAATAAATGATGGCATTATACTGCATCTGTGTCTCATTATACTGCGTCTGTGTCTCATTTTCATATCACATAATACTGCCATTAGTATTAGGTGATTACAGGTCTACCTGCCTGGAGGTCTACCTGCCTGGAGGTCTACCTCCAGGCAGGTAGACCTGTAATCACTGTGTAGGACTAGGTTATACGAGGCGCCTTCCTCTAACTGAGGCTGAGCCATGAAGCTATTGACTGCGAGGGAGCTAGACTCATTATTAACAAAATTTAATTAAATTACAGGAGAAGGGTGGAGTTTCTCATTTACGTCCACTTCCATTATTGATGACTCTGAGATACACCATACAATGGTGATCCTACACTTACATTGTTAATGACTCTGAGATCACCAACAATGGGATCCTACCTTTACATCCATTATTAATGACTCAAAACCCATACAATATGATCCTAACTACATTACAGGATGGGAACCACAAAAGGAATTAAAAGGAAAAAAGGAACTTTAATGCATAAAATACGTAAAAAAAAGACGAAATAACAGTACAGGTGAAGGTATTTGGGTGAGGGTGTTACGGGCGTCGTACCGCTTCCCCAGACTTAGGGGAGATCATTATAAGGATAAAACGAGACATACAGACACATATGGGTTATTATTTCCCATTGTGGGGGTGACCCCTTTTGTGACCACCCAAAAAACACAAGTGTGACTGAAGACATGAACATCGTAAATTTTGGATTCTAACTGTGAAGAGATCCTTGTACACCCCCTCCTCACTCCTCTCTCTCTACCTAGGATCTTCATTGCATAATAGAAATTTTTAAATATAAATGAAACCAAAATTTTCTATCACTTCCCGCACCTTTCTCTTTTCTCATTATATTTTTTTTTTTGCCCTTTGTTTAAAAAAACAAAATATCGTTTTTAAAAAATTCCTTTTCTCTAGTGTATTGCATATTATCCGAGATATGACATTCAAAAAGCATAGTAACTCCAGCTCTGTTGGAACCTTAAACGGGGAATACTTACGATATCCTCATTGCCCTACCGAAGTTCCCCCATTTCATCGACATTTTTCAGAGCTAGTACGGAAATCCGGGTATGCGATAACGGGGGAAAACCCATCCTGTGTGGCATAAAACGGGGGAAACCCATCCGTGTATGCGTATAACGGGGGAAACCCACCCTGTTTGCAATAACGGGGGAAACCCACCTTTGTATGAAATTAAACGGGGGAAACCATCCTGTGTGATGCAGTAAAACGGGGGAAACCCTCCGGTGATGCAGTAAAAACAGGGGAAACCCATCCTGTGTATCAGTATAACAGGGGAAACCCATCCTTTTGTTATGCAAAAAAACAAGGGAAACCCATCCGTGGATGCAGTAAACAGGGGAAACCCATCCGTTGATGCATACAACAGGGAAACCCTCCTGTGTGATGCATATAAGGGGGAACCCTCCTTGTTGCAGTAAAAACAGGGAAACCCATCCTGTGTGATGCAGATAACAGGGGAAACCATCCTGTTTACAATATAAAAAGGGAAAAACCCATCCTGTGTATGCGTATAACGGGGGAAACCCATCCTGTTGATGCATACAACGGGGGAAACCCTTCCTGGTTATGAAATATAACGGGGGAATAAGCTACTTTTTTTCCCTTCATGAAACTCTCCTGAACATGGCTACACACTGCTGATGTGAGGGAATAGACAGGGAAATCCTCCTGTGTGCTGGATATGATAAAGGCTGTTTGGATGTGAAGTAAACCCTTTCCCCGGGGAGTTTTACCAGGATGTCGCCAGCATTACACCTCTTTGATAAAGTCCGATCCCCCGGAAGGGCCTAGTCTTGGACCGGCCGGGGGGGGCTTGGGACCCCAGAATACCCTCCGGGTAGGAAAACCCACCTTTTTGATGGAATATAACAGAGAAACCATTCTGTCTGATGGAATATAACAAAAAAAGGGCCCTGTTTGTGGAATATAACAAGAAACCATCCTTTTTTGAGGGAATAAAACAGAGAAACCATCAGTCTGATGAATATAAAAAGAAGACCACAATTGCCCCAAAAACGGGGGAACCCCCATCCTGTGGATAAAATAAAAAGGGGGAAACACAGCTAGTGTTCCCAACATGTACCCATATATAGAACGGGGTAACGCAACTTTTATGTATTAATTTAGCTCATTTAAAAATTAAACTGCAAGTGTGTTCGGGTGACATCAGTTCACCGTTTGAGCCCTGGGGCGGCAGGTGCCCCCTGCCACCAGCAGCGGTGGGACCCAGGAGGGATCCACTGCTGGACGCTTCCCAGGGAAAGGGGGTGAGGGCCTTTTTCTTTCTTTACTTTTTTTCCTTCCCATTTTCTTTCTTTTCTTTCTCTTTTCTTTTCCTTTTCTTTTTTTTTATTTCTTTCCATTTTTCTTTTTCTTTCCATTTTCTTTTTTTTTTCAATTTCTTTCTCTCTTTTTCCCCTTTCTTTCTCTTTTGATTTTATTTTTTTTTTTCAGCTGCTCCACATTACCCCTCTTCCCTTCCCCCCCGTTCCCCCCCCCCCTCCCCCCTTCTTCCCCTCACCCCCCCCGGGTATCGCAATCACCTCGCGATCCACATACACCATTACATATTCACACATTACATATTTTATGAAGGTCTTGCCCCACTCCCCTTCCCCCCCCACCCTCCTAAGGTCTTGCCCCGACCCCCTTTCCCCCCCCCCCTCCCAGAGTCTTTTTCCCCCCCCCCCTTTTCCCCCCCCCCCCCCAAGGTCTTGCCCCGGGTCCCGTTCCCCCCCCCCCCCAGAGATCTTTCCCCGGGTCCCGTTTTTCCCTCCCACCCTCCTGAGGGACTTGGCCCCGGGTCCCCTTCACCCCCCCCTTCCTAGAGGTCTTCCCCGGCTCCCCCTTTCCCCCCCCCCCCTCCGAGAGGTCTTGCCCCCTTCCCCTTCCCCCCCACCCCCTGAAGGTCTTTCCCCCCCTCTTTTTCCCCCCCCCTCCTGAAGGGCTTTTCCCCCGGCTCCTCTTTCCCCCCCACCCCCTGAAAGGTCTTGCCCCGGCTCCCCTTCCCCCCACCCTCCTGAAGGTCTTGCCCCAGCTCCCCTTCCCCCCACCCCCCTAAGGGCTTGCCTCAGCTCCCCTCCCCCCACCCCCTGGGAGGTTTCCCCGGATCCCCCCTTCCGCCCTTCCACCATCCCCCTTTCCCTCCCCTCATATAAAAAATGTCATATAGAGGGGGGGGGGGAAAAGTAATTCAAAACTCATTCTTCTTTCCCTTTTTCCCCCTTCCCTTTTCTTCCCCCTTTTCTCTTCCCTACTTTTTCCCCCTTTTTTTTTATTCAACCTTCCTTCTCTTCTCTATTACTCCCCTCCTTCTTTCCCTCTTCTCCTCTTCTATTCTTCCCTCTTTAACCCACTGTTTTTTTCCCCTTTTTTACTGCTTGTCCCCTCCTCCTATTTCCCCTCCTTCCTCCTCCTCCCCCCCCCCCCCTCCTCCCCCCCTCCTTCTCCTCCTCCCCCTCCTTTTCCTCCTCCTCCTCCTCCTTCTCCTCCTCCTCCTCCTCCTCCTCTCTCCTCACTCCTCCTCCTCTTCCTCCCGTCTCCTCCTCCCCTCTCCTCTCCTCCTCCTCCTCCTCCTCCTCCTCCTCCTCCCCTCCTCCCTTCCTCCTCCTTCCCCCCCTCCTCCTCCTCTCCTCCTCCTCCTCCTCCCCTCCTCCTCTCCTCCTCCTCCTCCTCCTCCTCCTCCTCCTTCTCCTCCTCCTCCCTCCTCTTCTCCTCCTCTCCTCCCTCCTCTCTCCTCCCTTCCTCTCCTTCCCTCCTCCCTCCTCCTCCCCCCTCCTCCTCCTCCCTCCTTTTCCTCCTCCTCCTCCCTCCCCTCCTCCTCCTCCTTCCTCCTCCTCCTCCTCCTCCCCCCTCCTCCTCCTCCTCTTCCTCCCCCCCTCCTCCTCCTCCTCCTCCTCCCCCCTCCCTCCTCCTCCTTCTCCCTCCTCCCTCCTCTCCTCCTCCTCCTCCTCCTCTTCCCTCCTCCTCCTCCTTCTCCTCCTCCTCCTCCTCCCCCCTCCCTCCTCCTCTTTCCCCCTCCTCCTCCCCTCCTCCTCCTTCCCTCCTCGCTCCTCCCTCCTCCCCTCCTCCTCCCTCCCCCTCCCTCCTCTCCTCCTCCTCCTCCTCCTCCTCCTCCTCCTCCCCTCCTCCTCCTCCTCCTCCTCCTCCTCCTCCTCCTTCTCCTCCTCCTCCTCCCTTCCCTCCTCCTCCTCCTCTTCCTCCTCCTCCCCTCCTCTCCTCCTCCTCTCCTCCTCCTCGTCCTCCTCCTCCTCCTCCTCTTCCTCCTCCTCCTCCCTCCCCTCCTCGTCCTCCTCCTCCTCCATCCTCCTCCTCCCTCCTGCTCTCCTCCTCCTCCTCCTCCTCTCCTCCTCCTGCTCCTTCTCCTCCTCCTCCTCCTTCTCCTCCTCCTCCTCCTCTCCTCCTCCTCCTCTCTCCTCTCCTCCTCCTCCTCCTCCTCCTCCTCCTCCCTCCTGCTCCTCCTCCTCCTCCTCCTCCTCCTCCTGCTCTCCTCCCCCCTCCTCCTCCTCCTCCTCTTCCCCTCCTCCTGCTCCTCCTCTCCTCCTCCTCCTCCTCCTCCTGCTCCTTCTCCTCCTCCTCCTCCTCCTCCTTCCTCCTCTCCTCTCCTCCTCCTCCCCCTCCCCTCCTCCTCCTGCTCCTTCTCCTCCCTCCTCCTCCTTCTCCCCTCCTCCTCCTCCTCCTCCTCCCCCCTCCTCCTCCTCCTCCCTCCTGCTCCTCCTCCTCCCCTCCTCCTCCCCCTCCTCCTCCCCCTTCTCCTCCTCCTCCTCCTCCTCCGCTCCTTCTCCTCCTCCTCCTCCTCTCCTCCTCCTCCTCCTCCTCTTCCTCCCTCCTCTCCTCCTCCTCCTCCTCCTCCTCCTCCTGCTCCTCCTCCCCTCCTCCTCCTCCTCCTCCTGCTCCTTCTCTCCTCCTCCTCCTCCTCCTCCTCCTGCTCCTTCTCCTCCTCCTCCTCCTTCTCCTCCTCCTCCTCTCCTCTCTCCTCCTCCTCCTCCTCCTCCTCCTCCTCCTCCTCCTCCTCCTGCTCCTTCTCCTCCTCCTCCTCCTCCTCCTCCTCCTGCTCCTTCTCCTCCTCCTCCAGAATTATCACAAGTTTTCTCTATTATTATATTTTAAATTTCCTTCATCTCTTCTAAATTATGTTTGTTATTGCTTTGTTTGTTTGCTTGTTTAACTGAGCTGTTTGTTTGCTTGTTTGACTGCTTGCTCTGCGTACTCAGGCACGCCCACCTAGTGGTGGTTGCGAGGGATGAGTTCTAGCTCCTGGGCCCGCCTCCCCGACCTTTCAGCCTCTTCTCCAGGTTGAGGGACTGACCACCTCAAAACTTCTTTATTAAGGATGGTGGACTGATGACATCGTCTTCCCATCTCTACTGCTTCTGTGAATTCCTCTGTACTCGACTGAAGAAGCCTGCTGTGTAGGCGAAACGTTTAGGATTAAAGATACCTAACTCATGTACATGTGTCTTACCTCTTAGATAAACCCAGATGGGTGCAGTATAGCTATTACCCCTGCCCCTGCCCCTCCCCTACCTCCTGCCCCGTGCCCCTGCTCATTTCCTTGCTCCTGCCCCTCCACTGCCCCGGCCCTGCCCTTGCTCCTGCCCCCCCCTGCCCTTTCCATTCCCCCTCCCCCTCAGACACAATCGAATAGTACTAGTAGACAAATGTCCCCCCCCTCCCGCTTCCCCTTCCCCTCCCCTCATAAACAATCACAAGAGTACGACTAGGTGATTACCCCCCCCTTTCCAGCTAACACCCCCCCCTCCTCTCAAGGGCTATAGTTAACCTCATGTCGGCCAGTAACTACTTAATTACCTCGTTATCACCCGCGCAAACACCCATTCCATTATTACGCTTGTTATCTGATAGACCACAACTGCTGTGGTTATTACGGCGATAAGACTAATTCAATATTTTGTCCCGAAGAAGTTACATAGCATGAATAATTAACGAGCGAGAATAATGGAGAAGGATGTGTTAATGGGAGTAGTACAGGGGTTGGGAGGGATAGATAGATACAAAAATAAGCAGGTAAGTAGATAGAAAAGAAACAGGCAAGTGGATAGAAGACAGGTAAGTGGATAGAAGAAAGGCTGGTAAGTGGATAGAAGAGAAACAGGTAAGTGGATAGAAGAGAAATAGAAAGGTCAAAATGAATTTTGTTTTAACACACACACACACACACACACACACACACACACACACATACACACACACACACACAACCCATATTTAAGAAAGGAAACAGAAACGAGGCACTAAACTACAGACCTGTGTCTCTGACATGTATCGTGTGCAAAGTCATGGAGAAGATTATCAGGAGAGTGGTCGAACACCTGGAAAGGAACAAGATTATAAATGAAAACCAGCATGGGTTCATGGAAGGCAAATCTTGTATCACAAACCTCCTGGAGTTTTATGACAAGGTAACAGAAGTAAGACACGAGAGAGAGGGGTGGGTAGATTGCGTTTTCCTAGACTGCAGGAAGGCCTTTGACACAGTTCCCCACAAGAGATTAGTGCAGAAGCTGGAGGATCAGGCGCATGTAACAGGGAGGGCACTGCAATGGATCAGGGAATACCTGACAGGGAGGCAACAACGAGTCATGGTACGTGAAGAGGTATCACAGTGGGCGCCTGTGACGAGCGGGGCCCCACAGGGGTCAGTTCTAGGACCAGTGCTATTTTTGATATATGCGAACATGCTGGAAGGAATAGACTCTGAAGTGTCCCTATTCGCAGATGATGTGAAACTGATGAAAATAATTAAATCGGATGAGGATGAGGCAGGACTGCAAAGAGACCTGGACAGGCTGGACATGTGGTCCAGAAACTGGTTTCTCGAATTCAACCCTGCCAAATGCAAAGTCATGAAGATTGGGGAGGGGCAAAGAAGACCGCAGACAGAGTATAGGCTAAGTGGACAAAGACTACAGACCTCACTCAGGGAGAAAGACATTGGGGTGACCATAACACCGAGCACGTCACCGGAGGCACACAACCAAATAACTGCTGCAGCATGCGGACGCCTGGCAAACCTGAGAATAGCGTTCCGATACCTTAATAAGGAATCGTTCAAGACACTGTACACTGTGTATGTTAGGCCCATACTGGAGTATGCAGCACCAGTCTGGAACCCACACCTGCTCAAGCACGTCAAGAAGTTAGAGAAAGTACAAAGGTTTGCAACAAGGCTAGTTCCAGAGCTCAGGGGAATGTCGTACGAGGAAAGGTTGAGGGAAATCGGACTGACGTCACTGGAGGACAGAAGGGTCAGGGAATACATAATAACGACATACAAGATACTGCAGGGAATAGACAAGGTGGACAGAGTTAGGATGTTCCAGAGAGGGGACACAGAAACAAGGGGTCACAACTGGAAGCTGAAGACTCAGACGAGTCACAGGGACGTTAGGAAGTATTTCTTCAGTCATAGAGTCGTCAGGAAGTGGAATAGCCTAGCAGGTGAAGTAGTGGAGGCAGGAACCATACATAGTTTTAAGAAGAGGTATGACAAAGCTCAGGAAGCAGAGAGGGAGAGGACCTAGTAGCGATCAGTGAAGAGGCGGGGCGAGGAGCTGAGTCTCGACCCCTGCAACCACAATTAGGTGAGTACACACACACACACACACACACACACACACACACACACACACACTGCTACTGCATCACAAGGAAGACAACAACAGCGGGACCAATGCTTCACCATGGGCTCTGAGGCAGCAAGCCTCTGTAAAAACATAAGAACATAAGAACATAAGAACGAAGGAACACTGCAGCAGGCCTACTGGCCCATGCGAGGCAGGTCCAAGTCTCCTACCGGCTTAAGCCAATGCACCCAACCTAGTCAGGTCAGGTCACCTTGACTTAAGGGAGGAACACGGCAACCGTCCTGGTAGCACAAGCTAATCAGGTCCAACTCACACCCACCCACACCCACTCACGTATTTGTCCAACCTATTTTTAAAGCTACACAACGTTCTGGCCTCTATGACTGTACTTGGGAGTTTGTTCCACTCATCCACAACTCTATTACCAAACCAGTACTTTCCTATATCCTTCCTGAATCTGAATTTTTCTAACTTAAAACCATTGCTGCGAGTCCTGTCAACATATTAATAATATGATAAATTAGACACATGTGCAACTCTTGGGTATCTTTATTGAGGAAGTCGAATGCTCTACCACTGTAGCTCAGTGGTAGAGCATTCGACTTCCTCAATAAAGATACCCAAGAGTTGCACATGTGTCTAATTTATCAACATGTCGGTTCTCTGAACCATCCATTTACAAATATTAATAATATACACAACAACAAGGCGAAGCGTTTCAGTAATAAGAACACCCAGGTGTTGCACAAACGTCTCGTTCATGCAGTTACACAAGCGGGAGGATTCAGTGGTTTCCGGGATCACCAAGAAATGCGGAGGAAAGAGAGAGTAATTCAACGTACAAGAGAGCGGATAGGAAGCATTGAACTTCAGGTGAATTTCATTAACACGCACGCTAGGTAAGGTAATGGCGAAGATAATCAGAAGAATGACGAGGCACTTAGAGAAAAGTGGTGCCATTAACAACACCCAGAACACGTTTACACAAGATATTTTTGATCTCATAATCCTGCTGGAGTTGTATGACAGACACAGAAGTGAGGCATTAGAGTAGTGGACAACATATTAGTGTATTATTGTTCGTAGAATTACCCACAATATGTTTGGTAAAAGGACACAAATGCAACGTTTCGCTCCGGGAGAGTGAAACGTTGGAACAGTGCACCAATAACCCACACATAGAGAAAAGCTTGCGACGATGCTTTCGGTCCTACTTGGACCATTTACAAAGTAAGTTCCTCTCTCCTATGTGCGGGTTATTTGTGTATTGTACCAATCACGGTATTATGCCTCTTTGTTTTTTTGGAGTCTGGGACAAAACTAAAGGAGCAGACAGGGATTCAACACTTCTTAAAAGGATCCAACACTGCCTAAAAGGATCGAACACTACCTAAAAGGATCGAACACTACCTAAACGGATCCAACACTACCTAAAAGGATCCAACATTACATTACAGAACGGAGATAGTCAGTACCAGGGAAGTGGTGTTAGAACTGGCAAATGTAACAAGTGAAGCTGCACATAGGTGGATTAATTACGTCCTCTTTACCTCGCCACTACTACTGCCTACATTCTCCTCTGTATTTGACTGACGAAACCTACTGCGAAGGCGAAACTTTTCAACAGTGAAGATACCCAACTACTGAGCTTGTGTCTGACTCACCAACTTG